GGATCATTATCATTCCCCATGCTGAAGGACTCCCTGGCCCAGGCGTGGGGAACGCTATTTGAAGTTAAGGAGTACCTCCCTTTCTGAAGGTCTCCCACCCTGCCAAAGCCTACATCTGCTAGATTCAACAAATAATACTGGTTTCAAACTGGGCCTAGGATTTCTTTTTAAGGAATAAAGGCATGCATGAAGCCGTGAAGAAAAACTGAGCCTGGTCTTCGTACATTTCTACCAAAACGACAGCCCCAGGTGGGTGTGGTCATGTAAAGCTCTGAAAAGAACAGACTGGAAATGTGAGCTGAGTGGTACCGGGGCCACACAGATCTGGTCCCTCCTCCTCCTACAGCCTGGGCAGAGACCACAGCCATTCCAGTGGTTCTGTGCATGGAGTTCAGTATCCACAGAGGTCTGATGATGGACTAAACGAACCAGTGGCATGTGGCCCTCTACCCTGAGTTTACTGTCTTCCACTTTTTATAGAGACACAGGTACAGAGAGATGTCTTTTCTTCAAAGTGGTGGTTCTCAAGGTTCAGTTGCATCAGAACCACTTGGTGGGCTTATTGCAACCCAGGTTGCTGGCCTCACCCCCAGAGCTTCTGATTCAGGAGGCCAGGGGTCTGGCTGGAGAATCTGCTTCTAAGTTCTTACACTGCGGCTGCAGCCGGTCTCAGCTTCTCAGCGAACCACTGCTCTAAGGGACCCACAGTGCAAACAATGGTTGCTTGATCCTCAACTCCAGGTCACAGGGCGAGGTGAGGACTGGGGTAAAGTGGAGAACGTCCCATCTAAAGGGAGCAACTGCGGCAGCGTCCCAGAGATCTACCCGATGCCAGAATAAAAGGGCGTGTTCAGCGGTCTCGATTTTGTTGGGGGAAGAACAGCCAGACAGATGGATTTTTCAGTGAAATCTTATCATCTTTGACAATCATTGGCAAATGGCTCTCACATTTTTCCAACATTGTGCAAGCCAAACAAAACACATCTGCAGGCCAGATTTCATCCTCCAGCTGCTGTTCCAGAACACAAACATGGTTCCCATGGAAAGAGGCAGGAGCAGAGCTCTCTGAACCCTCAAGGCCCTTTGGGGAGGATGTCAGCCTGACCATGCCTCTCCTGGAAGGCTCCCTGGGGCCCATGGGGTGACATCTAGGCTCCCCGCCGGGTGCTCAGAGCTCCCCTCTTCCCCAGCCACACCCTGCACTCTGCCCCATAAAGTCTTTGCAGACAGCCCTGTTCTCACCTCTGGAACCCCTCTCATCTGGGCCTTTTATGACCTCCGGGCCTCTGTGCACGTGGTTCCCTCTCCTGGAATGCTTGTTCCTCTCCTCATCTGCCCTAATTCTCACTGGTCCTTCAAGGGCCCCCTCAGCTGTCACCTCTTCCTGGGCACCTCCCCTGCCCCCCTCCCCCAGCCCTGTTCTCCCAGCTGTGCTTCCATCACTACACTGAGTTATTAGATGGGTCTGTCTCCTCCACTGGCCTGAGTGCTCCAGGAGGCCTTGCTGCCTCTGTGTCTCCAGGCTGAGCCCAGGGGGACTCAGGTTGTGGGACAGGTTGGAAATAGCACCACCAAGTGCTCTTCTCTTGGCCTTGGCCGTCCTCTCGTCCCCTTTCTGTTTGCCTGGCTACCTCCTGCCCATCCCTGAGGCCACGGCTGAGACTCCACTTCCGGTGGAAACCTTCCCTGACCGCCCAGACATAGGAGGGCTCCTTCTCTGCCTGTCCATCCCCCACCAGCACACCATCCCAGTATCACAGGCTGCTCTGTTTTGCCGTCCCCACTGCCCTGAATTCCATAAGGGCAGGAATATTGTGTGATTCATCTCAGTAACACAAGGGCTGCAAAGACAGAGTAAGCACCATAAAATGCTTGTATGACCAAGAAAGAAATGAACAGAACAGATGAAACATGAGATCCTTGTAATATGCTGGGAAGAACGTGTTAGAATGAGGCCAACCTGATGCTGAGAACTGGCCTCCTCCGGCCGCTGCTCCTGGCTGGTGTGTGCAGAGCGCGAGGAGTAGAAGGGGTGGTGGTGCCTTATCTTTGGCAACGACCTTGCCCAGGACCGCCGGGGGCCCTAGAGACCCTGGCCAGTGTGGCCTCTTGCAGGCAGCTCCCCTCCACTGACAAGCACCAGGCTGGACTGTTGCTATTGTTCTGTTATCCTACCCCCGCCCAGCCACACTCTTCCTTGTAGTCCCCCTTCCAGCTGGGCAGCTGACGAGGCTTCTCCACAGCTCAGGGGCCAAGGAAAGGCCGGCGCAGAGGGGTCGTCCATTCCCCACCACCCTCCCAAAGTAACAGCCAGGTGAGTGTGTGCTGTCCGCTTGGGAGGGGCTGCTGGGAGTCCTAGGGCAGCCAGGATGGCCATGAGTTCTCGTCCAATGTCATCTGGCTCGCCCAGCTGCTGGGCTTCCCCATCTGTTCACCTACCACTGTCCTAATGTGGTAGGCACGGTGCAGTGGTTAACAGCTGGGACTCCGGAGCCGACAAACCACATTCAAACTCTCCCCTGCCACTTCCTTAACCCCTCAAGGTCACATAACAAGAAATCCTGCTTGAGTTTTCTTATCTGTAAAATGGGGTTGAAAAGGAGTGTTGTAAAGATTCAGTGAGTTAAAATGTGAACAGTCCGTGTGCATAGCAAGCGAGGTGCATGCAGACCTGGCTTTACTGTGCTTTGCGGGTATTGTGTTTTTTACAAATTGAAGGTTTGTGGCCACCCTGCTTAAGCAAGTTTGTTGGAGCCATTTTTCCAACAGCATGTGCTCACTTCGGGCCTTTGTGTCACAGTTTGATAATTCTCTCAGTATTTCAAGCTTTTTCATTATCATTATATTTGTTATGATGATCTGTGATCAGTGATCTTTGAGGGTCCTACTGCAAAAAGATTATGACTCGCCAAAGGCTCAGATGTTGGTTAGCATTTTTTTGCTCTTTTAGTTTTTTAAATTATTATTATCTCTTCCTTTTTTTCTTTCTCTTTTTCTTTAATGGCGGTCCTGGGGATTGAACCCAGGACCTTGTGCATGCTAAGCACTCGCTGTACCACCGAGCTGTACCCTCCCACCTCTAAAGTAGTTTTTAATTCAAGGATATCTGCTGGTTTTTATACATAATGCTGTTGCATACTTAACAGACCACAATATAGTGTAAACATAAGTTTGATGAGCACTGGGAAACAGAAAACTTGGTGTGCCTTGCTTTCTTGTGATGTTCATTCTATTGCAGTGGTCTGAGGCCGAACCTGCAAAATCTCCAAGGTCTACCTGTATTAGCTAGTGTTACTACATGATCAGTGTTTCCCGTATTAGTGGATGAGCGACAGAATGAAAGAGCAAAGATACTTAGCCAAGTAAGTACAAGCCAGAACATTCCAGAGGTTGCAGTGACCCAAAGCAAACAGAGATGTTTGCTGTGCCCTGTAAGTGCCTCACGAGTGGGAGGACAAGGACTGTTCTTACGACGCAGTTCCAGGCAGCGAGCCTGGGACCAGACCTTGGGCCGTGGTCCCACAGGCAGGGACCCTCCTCACTAAGGCAGACCCTATCTGAAGGGCTCCTTTCCCACCGTGAGCCTCTCGGAGGATTGAGGCCTCGGCTTTTAAAGGCACAACCTGACATTTTTGTGTAACAATAGTGTTTTCTCTCATTCACGGCCTCTCCCAGGATCCCCCCTGCTGGCTACCCTTCTTCCACCATCATTTCACCGGCAGACTCAGACAATAACTCCTGGTCTCTATCAGATGGATCAACAAGGAGGTGATGAGGGGCCGAGGGCGGGTGGGGAGTGAGTCACCCAGGCCTCGGGTTCCTTACGCCCAGACACGGGCACTCCTTCAACCACAGTCCTAACAAACCCCAGCCATCTGGTTTCTGCAAAGGCTACCAGCGGAATCTGGCCCAGAGCAGGAGTGTGGGCCTCAATGTCTGGTCTCTGGCAAGTCTCTTAGCCTCTGGGAGCCTCAATCATTGCAAAATATCAGTTTACTAATCCTTCCCTCACTGGGATGAGCTGGAGAATAGCTGGCACAGTGCTGGGCACGGAGCAGACCCTCAGTCAATGGTGGGAGGGGGAGAGGCGGGGGGGAGAACTTCATCAGTAAGCAGGCTGGCTCCCTGGGGGTGGGCCTGAGCTAGCTCTGGACCCAAGACTGTGAAAGGGAGACCGGGAGCACCCTGACCTGCCAGCGACCCAAGAATGTTGCTAGAGGCCTGGGGCTGAACTTCCGGAGGCTGGAAGCTACAGTGGCAGCTCTAATTGGGGTCTCTGGGCCACCAGCTTCCCACCTTGGGAGCAGCTGGCTCATTCCCCTTCCCCATTGCAGCTTCCTCTGGCCTGGGCTGCACTGGCATTGACCTACTGCGTAGGTGTTGGCTGCAATGTTCAAGGGAAGCCCGGAGGCAGTGGAGGATAGAATGGGAAAGGGGATGGCCAGGAGCCAAACCCCAGTTTGAGGATGGGGAGGGGCAGGTCAGAAGGCAGAGATCACTGGCAGTGGCCCTTGCTTCCTGGAGTGGCTTCATGCTAGGTCATGTAGGAAGTTTACACTTCAAAAGGGCTCCCTGCGTTTCTTCTTGCTTTCCCCCCTTCTCTCCTCCCTCCCCCCAGCCTACAGTACAGCCAGAGAACAGAGTCAACACATTTGCCTGGAATTCCAGCCCAGACCTTCCGGAGCTGTGCTACTCTGGGCAGTTGCTTTATCTCTTTGAGTCTGTAAAATGGGAGTCCTCTCAAGGTTGTTGTGAGGCTCAGATGATGTCTAGTGTATAAAGCACCAGGCTCAGTGCCAGGAGGCAGCAGAGACTCAACAAACCACAGCTTTCATAACTTCCCATCCAGTTTGGATGCCTGATGAGTCAGGTGCTGCCTACATTGCGGGCTGGGAATGTGAAGACCTTCCGTCCCTGAGAACACCAGGGCCCTGTTTCCCTCTCAGATGAACTAGCCCCGCCTTTGGTCAGGAAATGCCCACGTGTACACAAACCCTTACCATGCACTTGCGGTCGTCTATGCCCGTCAGATCCTCCTCGAACTCCTTCCCAACCTCGAAGTCCATGATGTAGTTCCTAAAAGTGCTCAGCGTGCGGATAATCATGTGGTCGCCATCCTGCACAATCTCTTTGTCTGGCTTCAGCAAGTTGGCGATTTTGCGCAAGGCCACATTGACATCTGCAGGGAGTGCCAGGACAGAGAGGGACGGAGAGTTGCCAGAAAAGTCAGAGGACCGTTGAAAAGATAAGGGAGCTCCAGGAACCCGATCCCCGCCCCCTCAAGAAGACCACTGAGGTTCCCTGTTCACGTAGCGTGGTCTCTGCGTGCAGCTGGTATGTGCCTTTTTCTTTTCTTTCTTTCCTTTTCTTTCTCTCCCTCCCTTTTTTTTAACAACAAAGTTTTCTGCCCATGTGCTAACTTTCAAAACAAAAAGTGGCAAATCATGCCCAGCTTTCCTAATGAATCATGCACATCGAAAGCCAACTATCAGACACTGGCCACCAATGAACCCTAACAACTCCCGTCCTCCAGTTCGCAGCCCGCTGGTCCCCTGGAGCGGTGGCCGTGGCTGCCCTTTCCCGGCGGAGGCGGGCGGGCGGCAAGCCCGCGAGGGC